AGTGACTTTTGAGTTAAAATTCAAAGTTGAGTGACTTTCTGAGAAAGAAGTGCATAGTTAAATGACTTTTGAGTGAAAATTGAAAGTTAAGTGACTTTCTGAGAGAAGAGTACATAGTCGAGTGACCATTTGAGGTATTAACTCGAGTATTCGTGTGAAGTTGACAAGTTAATAATCTCTTCGAAGCATAGTAGCTTGTCCAATGATTAAGCTCGAAGTAAGGGTATCCTTATTTTACTAAAAAGAAAAGGAACAAAAAAAGAAAAAGAAATACTCTTTTTTTGTTTTTACTTTACAAAAATAAGTGGGTAGTAAAGGGAAATAGAACAATAGATTATAAGGTGGTCAGCTATTAAGATTTTAGAAAAACATTATATCCTACAGCTTTACCCCTTTTGTCCTAGCTGTTTCTATTGCAAACGTCCAAACTTGCATAACATTAGAAATAGCAAAGGAAGGAAGTCAACGTTATACGATCATAAAGATGGTATAATGCATTATCAGGCAGAGACAAAGTCGGTATTAGGAGCTTAGTAGTTCTACATTTTCCTTGGCTTCTTTATCACTGAACTGTCAGTCAGTGTATTTAAAGGTACACAAGTTAATACTTGATTCTAATACAAAATATAGGGTCTACAAAGAGCTACTGAATTCGTGCCGATGAACGCTCCGCCCCTGTTAACATGCCCTTTGAAAAAACAAGATCACATAGTCCCTAAAAAAAGGAGTAATTTTACTCTGAAAGATCAGTATCATCCTCACGATCATTGAGAATCCAAGATCCATCTTCTTGTTGAACCATTCCTTTATTTTGCACGGTCCGCCAATACACTGGTACACCATATTCATTCTTCAATGCGTCCGTTTCCTTATTCACCAACGCAATATCCCGAGTTATTTCCAACTTGAACTCTCCTTCTGGTCCATGTGTTCCAGCAATTCCGTGCAGATAAACTTCCAAAGAATGATTATTTACATCTTTCTTCAAATACTCTGATTTTGTAGTATCAATTTTAACTTCATACCCAACATGTTCATACACTCTCCAATCTGTATCAGAGCCCTCTACCTGTCCGCGGTCTGGTTTTTCAGGAACTTCATCAAGAGCATTGGTAATCCGCAAGATTTGAAGATTTTTCAAATGTTGATGAGCTTTCTTGAAATTGGCCTCTCCAGTTCGTGGGCTAGCAAATAAAAATGCAGTCACTGGAAACTCCTTATTGATTTTGTTGACAACTATGTCAATTGCGCATAGTGTGGACAATGATGAACCAATACTGTGGCCGCTTAGAGTAATGCTAACTTTGTCTCTCTTGTATTGCTCCACCAATCGCTTAACTTCTTCAATAACCTGTTTGTTTCAAACCATAGGGTCTCGATAGTAGCTACAATCTATGGCTAATATCATGATATTTCTCTTTTTAGTAAATAAATCATAGAATTTGCAAGTATACTAAACAGAAATAAGAGAATCTTAATAGATCAATTGATTGAGTTATGAACTTTCACTTTATTGTTAATAAGGGTTCAAATCTCCAACTCGTAATCTCCACACTCATTTCCCCTTCCCCTATCCATACCCTAATTTTTTTGAAGAAAGAAAAACAGAGAGATTCTTACCTGGTCTCTGGCACTAGCTGTTCGATTGAATTTAGAAGCGTCGTTAAGAGAAGTATAAACTGAATAAAAACCTCTGTGTACAAGAGTGTCATGCGTATTTTCTCCAAAGATTTTTGTGGGTGGAACCAAAACCCAGTCAGAATCATCATTCCATTCTGCAGGACACATGGTTCCTCTCCAAGCAATCAAAATATCCCTCCTTCCTAATGCAACTTTGCCCTCATCAGTGGCAACAGCAACAAACCCTATCCAATTTGATGATTTGATCTTTTCAGTTTTACTTGGTACATCTGAAGCTCCATAGATGTATTTTGTGACTTCATATTTGAATGGGTTGTTTTTGTCGAGTCCCACTCTTTTGAAGAAATTCTTTTTGGAGTATCGATTTGTCCCTAAATTCTTCGATGCTATTTCACTGTTGAATGAATCGCAGATGGCTTGAGGCATTTGGCCATAGTGAATAAGGTATCGTCGGAGATCGTAATCCAAAGGGTCAAGTAAGCCTTCCCAGTTGTTTTTTCCATTCAAAATCTCCCATCTTTCTGCTACGCTGTTGTCTCTGTTTTCGATCCCTTTTTTCTTTTTGAAAAAATTTCTGATTTTGATACTAACAGCTTCCAATCCTTTGTTTATGCAGCCCATAGATATACTTCAATAGATATGGAGTAATTAAAATTGCTACCACTTTTAAAGTTGTGTTAGAGAGCAGTTCTCTTCCAAATAACGAAAGAGCTAAGCAAAGAGCAACACTTTGGAAACAGGGTAAAGGCCAAAGTGATTACAAAAATAATTACTCCCTCCATTTCCATTTCTGTTTTCTTTCTTTTTTGGTTGAATAAATTATTGAGTAGAATATTACTTATTTTATAATTACGAGATTAAAAAATATTTTAATATGTTATATATATATGTTTAATTTAAAATTTCATATTAATTTTAAAATTAAAATCAAATGAATAAATTAAAACAAACATAATCTATTATTTAAGTAATCAATCAGGGGCTTGAATAATAAAAAGTAATCAGTAATTCCTTTGGTCCATTATAAATACATAGTTGTTTTATATTGATTAATTTAAAAAAAGAGTCGTACTTTACTTTTTCCCAATATATAATATAAAGAAAGTGATGAAAAAGAACACAAAGGTCACACACAAGTTGGTGGCGGCTTTTGGGGAATAGTACATTAGTTTCGTAACTTTGTGTATTAGTTTGGTACATTACTTTGGTAAGATATATTTTCTGATGCTATAAATAATTAATATTTGTATTAATTACGTATTTTGTTATATATTGAATAGTGTATTATTAACATTATGAATTTGTATGAATTAGTAATACAAAAGGATCTAATATAAATATATGCATTAAATAAATATTTTCCATCGTAATTATGAAAAGCTTTTTTGTAAATAAATATTTTTATATGATGGGTACAATTTTTAATATATCACGCCAAAAAATGCATAATAAATAATATAAGCATAACTAATATTTTTTCAATGTATTTTTATTTGACATGTTGCACTTTTTGAAAGTCAATATGACTAATATTTAAAATCAAATTAAATTATGTTAGTTCGATATTTTAAAGAAAAAAATTTAGATATTAAAAAAAATATATGAAAAATACTATAAAATATTAAAATATGAAAAAATAATCGTAAAATGTTAATGTTTTAATAATTTGACTCTAAAAAAAAATCACGATAATTAAAAGTAGACAAGAAGAGTATAAGCATTAAAAATATAAGTATTATCAATATACCCTATTTACTATTAAAAGAGATACTTTATTTATTTACGCTATCTAGAATTAAAACACACTATTATTGTAGGGCTATTTAATATTTGTCGAAGTTTTATTTTAAAACAATTTTCTAAGATATAATTTATTAAATTAGATTTTTGACCTAACTTATACCCAAAAGCTAACTCAAAAATAAGAAAATTATTCAATCTATTCATTTCATTAACAAAATGAGGATTTATGGATTGAATAAGTTCTCTTTGAACATTTAACTGGACTATAGTTTTTACCTCACCTACATGGCCTAAGCACATTTCTTGTTGAGCAATGGAACTCCTACAAATCCTCATTTGTTTTAATTTTCTATTAAGAGCAGACAAAAAGAATAGAACGAGCGAAAATATTTCTCACTTTTTTATTTGTTTGTTATATATTCATGCTTTGTTGTTAACATATGTTTTAATTTCTTTTTTTCTTAATATAAAAAGATTGAACAATATAACACATAGGGTTTGCTCATAATGAGAATAAAGAACAAAATTATGTAGACAATTAGACTTAGATTCACTTTGCCTAATTCTTTCTATTTTTTTTAACGGTCATGCTTTGTAATATTTTTTTTTTAATTTTAAAATATAAAATTTAAAACTTCTAATTTTAACTCCACCTACTCACTTTACCTAATTTTAGCTCCGCCTCCGCTCACTTCGGTGGAACCTAATTATAGACCACTAATTTATAGAGTTTCCTTTGAACTCGACGGACCAAGTTTTGAAACGCCAACTATTATATAGGACGATATGAAATAAAAGATAATACGTCCAATATACTTTCTTTGTCTCAATTTATATGACGTCTTTTATGTTTTAAGAGTCAAACAATTTAAGTTTGATCAGAAATTTGCGCATAAATCTTCAATTTTTTTCTAAATGAAATTTATATATTTCTAAACTATGTAAAAAGTAATACGAGTCACAATAATTGATAGTTCCAAATATTAGTAAAATCTATGAAAAATTTACGATCAGAGACAGATTTATTTGACTCTTGAAATTTAAAATGTGACATATAAAATAAGACGAAGGTAATATACATCTCGGATAATAAAATTTTATATGTAACAAATGATAACTTATTTTGTGCTGATCAAGTTGGAGATCATATTTATTTGATTACAAATTAAGTAGCCCAACTAATACGAACCTCATATCAAATTTCACTACCAACTTACAACAGTCCATTTGAATCATATTGGGCCGTTAAAATATGCTACTATTTGAGAATCCATTTTAGCTCCTTCTAGTGTTACTATACTTCCTCTTTTATTGTAAAAGTGTAAATCTAGGGTGTATTTGGTAGGAAGGAAATTTTTTTAAAGAAAAATAAATATATTTTTTTAAAAAAAAATTCTTGTTTATGATAAATTATTTTCTTGTTAATCATGAGGTGTACCGGAGGATGTGGAACACCATGAATATAAAATATTACATATTAAATTTGTTTTTAGAAAAAAAAATCCTTTTTCATGTGCTTAATCTCTAAATCGAGACTTTTAAATGAAAAAAATATAAATTTTATATACTAGTCTACATAATATTCTAAATTTCTAATCATTTAAAATAAATTGTTTAGGAGAAATTTACCTAAATATACTATAATAAAAAAAATATTTATCAATATAGTAATAATATTTTTTTCACTTGATCATTTTTAATTCATTTATAATACAAGTTTAATACATATTACAAAGACCAATTTATTATTCATATATAATATAAATTTTAATAATGATATCACACATTTTAATACACTTATAATATAATGTGATAATTTTTTACCAAATAAACATGATATATTTCAAAAAACAATTACAATTCATATATTGCATACATAATTCACTTTTAATACATATTTCAGATTTAACAAAGCATTGCTATAAATATCGCTAAAATCAGTAATTATTTTTTAAAATATATTAATTAATGTAATTTTTCTATGTTAGGGAATATATACAAAGCAAAGACAGAAGTCACGGGACAAAGCTTTTCATTTTCATGAGAATGATTAAAATTGCAGTAACACAATATTATGAGACAAAATTGTAGTAACAATATTTTTAGACAGAATTGCAAAATCCTTTCAATTATAAGTGAAGCTAAATTTAGATATTGTTTTTTTTTTTGGTTTTTTATTTTGAGATATGAGGAGTATGATTTGAGTGATTGATGAGTCCAAATCAGAGAAGGAAAGATTAATGGTTCCCTCAATCATACGAAATTAACTTAATTAGACCACAATGTCAATATATACATATATATATATAGTCATTAAATCAAAGTGTGCCCTCCCTTCTCTGCCTTTGCCTTGTACCACCGGTCCTAATATCGAGCAGCCGACCTTATTAATTATTAAATTGTACTCTCTTCCTTCATTTTATATTTCACTTTTATTTTATATTTGCATTTATAATAATGTAAATTTACTTTTCTATTCTTATTTAATGTTTTCTTTAGTCAACTTTATTAATTAATGACAAAATTAATTAACATTTTATCAAGAATATAGTAGGTAAAATATGGTAACTTATTCATAAATTTTATAAAATAACAAGTATTTTAGAAACGAATAACATATAAAATGAGACGAAAAAAATAATATTTATGATTTCATAAAGAACAATAATGAAAATTATGATTTAAATTATGTCCTTGAATGATTTTATTAAAATGTGTTTATTGCCTCACAAACACATCTAATAAATATAAATGAGTAGATAACTGTTATAAATAAGTTGATAAAGTTATATTTCTTAGTAAGAGTGAGAGGGTTAACAGAACACTTATTTAGAGGCAAAGAATATAACAGTTCAACTTTAAACTTCTCTTTTAATCTATAACAAGATGATTTACAATCTTAGATAAATGTTTATAATTAAATTTTTTTAGAAAGATGCAATTCTTTTAATTCTTAAATTTCACGCTAATCAATCATCATCACATATATTTTGAAAGGAGAAAACTAATTTTTATTTTTTTTCTTTTGGGAGGGTAGCGATTGATTATAACTTTATAAGTTATAAGTTTTGTATAGATGATGCTATTGCATATGGACCTTGCAGGGTCAAGTTGTGATTAAAAAATCTATCCGATCGAAGCGATTTTTCTGAATTCATCAATATTTTATAGTAGTAGTTCATATGTCAAGTGCTTGGTAAAAGATTCATGCCCTATTAAATTAAATTAAATCACATCTTTAATTTGCTCCACATAAAATTCTTGATGAGGGTCCCTAATTAAGACTTAACCTCCTCCATCAAATATTAGTATAAGTTTTTAGAAATAATGTAGACTTGAGCTTCTATAATTGAGTCAACAAATTATCGTTACCTGATTATTAACTCTAGGGGAACGGCTCTCTTATCCAAGAAATTAAATAGACGTTTGAATATGAATTCGATGATATCTGAAACAAAAAAAGAATATTTAAAGTTTAATTACAAAAATAAAGTTATGTTTGAAATATGTATTTTGCACGAAAAAAATATAAGATTTTTGTAAGTTAATAAGCTTTTTAATTAAAAATGGTTAAATCAACTTTAAAGTCAAAATAAAATAATTGTTCTGTTCCTAATTATTTGTTTATTTTGATAAATTAAGAAAGGACAATTTTTTTTAATCTATTCTATCTACAATTAAATAACTAGAAATATGTAAAACTTTTCAGCCACTTCATAATTAATAGAGATAAAATAGTAAACTAACTAAATCATTAATCATTTTTTAAATATATCTACCAATTCAAAAATAAACAAGTAATTAGAAACAAAAAAATATTTAAATTTTAACGACACTCTATTCTTTTTTAAACAAAATTTTGAATAATTCACTTATTTAAACTATTATTTTTTAAAAAAAAAAATGAAACAAAGCGTCTATTACCAAGGAAATGAAGGCCCAAGGGGGTGGGGGAGGGGATTGTTGTGTTTAATATGAGCATGTGACATGGTGGCCCCCAATAAAACATGGAAATAATAATAGTAGCAGAAAGAAACAAGCTATTTTCATGAATAAA